ATATGAACCGAGACTCTAAGTATTTATTGTAATGTTACATGAGCATTTCACCAAAATCTCCATCAAAAAGAGGTTATGGGCAGATGATGGAGAATGTGGAGGTAGAGAATCACCAGAGATCATAATTAAGAATACATATAATAATGCAAAACTAGTAGCACACCATGATTAGTTCGTATAACTTGAGCATTGCATTATTTCTTTCGCTTTTTATTGACTACTTTGATGTCTATTGGTCCAATTGACCATATTCAAACTACATTATCAATACGATAATTAGGCCAGATTGATTTGGTCATATTTGATATCAGTAAAAAACAGAGCACGGAATATTACTAGTAAAATGATTAAAATAATTGTGAAGATAATGATTCGTAAAATCATGGTATGTTTCAACGTATCAAATGAGCTGACGGTAGTCAGCTCATCCGCTTTTATATAACTGTTATACAGTTTTAAATTTCGCGCCAAAAAATCTGATTCAGAATCCTCATTTTGATCCAGAAACCCTGATCCAGAACTCTCAATTTGATCCAGAGTCAACCTTTTATTAACTACTAAAATTTTCACCAAAATGACCGAATTAGAAGGTAAAGTTAAATAAGCTTTCATTAAATTTTAATATCAACGCAGTGAAAGTGTTTATGAGGCTATGAGGCGATCCGAACTATCAATCGGAATATTAACTTGCCAGAACGAACTTTGAGAGAATAAGTAAATTTTATAACTTTTCGTGAAATATACTAAACTTTTTCCTCTCATTTTTTGTTCAAGTGTAGTTAAACGTTTTGCAGAATATGCAAAATTAGATGATGTGTTTATTGTTGTTATTGCTGTTTTTTATTATCGTTGTTTATGTTTTGTTGTTTTTATGATTTTATGTTTTTCAACTTTATATTATTTTTATTCAATTATTATTCATTCGTTTAAAACAAAACCAAAATCACAAACACTTCTTGTAAAAGAACTTTTCAAAAAATAACATTAAAAATGAAATTACTACAATGTTTAAAGTTTGAAGAGAAAAACTTTAAGAAATTATTTCTTTTCTTTTAACAAACTTTTATATAGCCTCTACATAATGCAATTTGACCTCTCCTTATTCATCATCAGCATTAATTAAAAATGACCCGGATAAAAGAAAAATAAAGTAATTATCTTTAACATATCTTAATAATTAGTTTAGGGAATTAATTAATTGATGATCGGAGATCTCAGAACAAAGGTATTGTCACTGTTTCAACCTATGAAAATGTCCAGCAAGTACAGGAAATGCTCGAGGAAAATCCAAGATTATCAATAAGAAAAGCTGATCTTCAACTGCAAATGAATAGAGAGGCTTTACGATTAATCCTTTACGAACGTCTTCCTCTCCATCCATAAAATATAAATAAAAAATAAAAAATTTCTTCAGTTCAGAAGCTAGCTGATTCAGCCAAAGAGAAAAAATATTGGTTCCATCAAGATGGCACCACTGCATATTGCACGAAAGATGTTCTCCAGTATTTACAAGGAGTATATGGAGAGAGAGTAATAAGTTGGCGTTTCTCTGATATACTTGATTGTGGTAGTGAGTGGCCACCATATACTCAGATTTATATTCATTTGATTGATTTCTATGGGGTTATCGCAAAAATAAAGTTTACTCTAAAGAGTATTCACCGGCTGACGAGCTGATGACTAATATTCATTCGACTTGTAATACGATAACTACGGAAATATTAGTTATAGTTTCCGAAAATTTTTACAAAATATAGAAATCTGCGCCATGGAAAATGATGGAACAGATACTCAATTTAAATTTGATTTGCTTAAAAAATGGGTTTTTCATTGAAAATCAATGGAAATTTTGAATTTTTTTTGCTCTAAACATTTCTTTTTTAGTGCTTCGTCAATCTAAGCAAATCTTAGAACAAAAAAAAGAAGTAATTAAAAAGTTATCCAAAAAAGATTGTGGGAATAGATTTGTCATCCAGTAGTGTAATACAATCAATCAATTTATATCTGATAAACAGTAATAAGGTCTATTAAACCTGCTCATATGACTTTGAATTTCATCAAATGAGGTATTCATTAGCAGGCACTTACGATTGCTGAAAGCGGTAAATATATTAATATTATTTTCAAATTTTTAGTACCATGAGCAAGTCGAATAAAGTCCAATGAATCCTTGATACGGATTTTATCTAACTGACAAATATCACTTATCACAGGTATAAATCCGAAAAATTGGTGTATCCTTATGGCAATATAATGATTCAGGTTAGCTAAATTTCACTTTTTCTCTATTGATTGGATGTTCTTCATCGACATAATCAAGAAAAGCACAATACTGCTGAATAACCCCAGAAGTAACAGTAGTAAGGAAAACATTTCTTCTTGTTCAAAAGAAATTTCTGGCTCGACTGTAATTTTTAACTCAGGTCCAATTTTCGTTGTCACCGCCTTCATCAATATCACGCAAAAACATTCCTTTTCTCTTTTTTATCTCTTTCTAATAGAGATTGAAAAAATTCTCTCCCGTTTTCCCTCCCCAAGAATGGACTGAAATCCGGGCTGATTTACTACGGATCAACTTAGACCATTCAAGGAGAGAGAGAAGAGGTTAAATAAAGAGGTTATAAAAAGGAAGGAGGGTCATCTCAGTGTTTTCATCGTGTAGTGACAGCAACAGGATTCAATGATATATTCATGATCGCCCATTTTGTCTACTATATATTTATTATTATGATATTATATAATTTATGAGTAAAGACTATTCAAAAGAGAAGATTCATTCTCTTTTGAAGATTACTATTACCTCGACGTCAGATGGAAATCATGGCCAGTGAGATTAGGTCAATCTATTGTTCACTAGCTTCTCCAGTAGGCAAATATATTAGGCTCTTAAGTCTAGGTCTGTGTGTGGTGAATTTGGTGAGCAGACTTCTGATCACTACAAAAGGTTAGCGAAATAGAAATTTTCTTCTTAAGTTCTGTATAACAAGTTATAACTCTCGACAGATAATCTGAATAGGTGATAACTCTGTTAGCTCTGTTTAAATTTTATATGTATTGACATTCACTCAAAGTGTTTATGCGTTTGTGAGTATAATAAAATGTTCATCATTTGTATGCATTTTGTGTATATAAATGATGAACATTAGAATATGCAACTCGAAAATTATCTCGAACTAGTTGTCAGGAAAGCCAAATGAAGATTAAATTGTTATTACTATTAGTACCTCGTTAATTAAGTTATTTATTTAATTGTAATCAACGTTGATCATGTAATCGTAATAAAAAGTTAATCTAATCTGTAAGCGTAACTTTTTATTGTCACCTCGAATTATTATCAGTAAGAACTGATTAAAATCTTTTGCTTCTCGATGATATCGGATGACAATTAGATTTAATTATTCCAGATACTAAATGATTAACATGGAAATCGTTACACTTGATCTAGAGTAGATCTTTCTTATTCTTACCAATTCAAATTGATATTGTCAAGATTATTGTTGATTATTTATTCCAAGACGTTTATGATGGTCAAGAAAACGTAGAGAGATAAAGAGCTAGAGTAATATCAATGGAAAAGTGTATCGATCGTTACATAATAGTGATCACAAGAAATTCGAGTCTTTAAAGGAAAAAGAATAGAAAAAATAACTTTTATCTATTTTTCGATTTTTTTCGTCTTCTTCATTTTTTCTATTCCATGATAACTTTCCTCTCTCCTCTAAATGAGCATCATGAGAATCGGTCTCAGAACTTTGTTGATTATAACTTCGTTCACCATTATCACCATTAGAAAACAAGGTCAATCACAGATTAGAACTTCTCTTTCTTTATCTCTTTCTCTTTCTCTCTCATTCAATCATCATCAGAATCCACACACTTATCATCTTCTGCCCCTGCAAGTGATGAGTATATAACGAAGTTCTAATATTATGAAAGTTCGAAAGAGAAAAATTTTCCCTTCAAATTGTTTATTTTTTAGATTTTCTTTTCTTCCTCTACAAGTCAATTAATCTTCCAACAATACAACAAAAATGATAGTTAAACTTAATCACAATCAACGTTTTTTTTTCTCAACAGTAACAATCAACATCGAGATAATGATGAAGATGATAAAGGAAGATAACGAGAAAAGGTTACATTGGATTGAATCTCGATTCCAATCTTCTATTTTTCTCTTTGATTGTGAAAAAAATCTCAAGAGAATTTATCAGTTTCCAAGGAAAATGTCAACTAACAAAGAACATAAAATTTCAATAGTGTATTTCCATTGATTCTCTTGCAACAATAAGTTCCAAATATCAATGAATTCTAATCGAACAAAATTATTCGGAGGTTACCTAGTTACTATTAGAAGATTATCTTATAATTAGTTCTATTAGACATCGAAAGTGCTACTGAACCTAAGAGATAAAAATCCCAAAGAGGATAGGAAAAAGTTCAATTCTGTAAATCTTGAAAGTAGAAGAAATTTTTTCTTCCTAAAATCCTTTAGCATTTCTCCGGATTAGAATTTCCAATTCAGGTATTAAGAATCGAAAGGTTCTTCATACAAACTTTAAATTAATTCTGTTGATTGGAAATGTTAGAAATATGATTGATCATGATGATATTACACCAATATCGAAACTCGAACATTATTATCATTGTTATTAGCTTTTTATGCTGATTAAGATGAAAGTGATTCCTTTTATATAACGAATCGCATTTTCTAGCTTTGAATCCACAATGAGCTTCAAATGGTATTAGGAATAACATTTCTCTCATCTAATGGACATTGAGACACTTTTTTTCACTCTCTTATCCAATAAAGTTGATGGATAAAAATATTATTTGTTTGTGATGAAATTCAGAGGTTTTGATCTTGCTCAAAGAACCATCATCATTATCATCATCATGGTGATTCTTTATTCACATAAATAGTAATAAATAAACTAATATGAAGTTGACAAATTCTCTAAATTTAAATTGTCTTCCGTTTCCGTTTTTTTTTTCTTTAACAGGGTAAACGAAATCAAGCTTTACTTATAATCTATTCAATTGCAGATCGGAAAAGCTTTGAAAAGGCTGGACAATTATTAACATTGGCTATATTAAGACAAGCACATTCTCAGCCTAAATTATCAATCTGTTTGATTGCCAATAAATCTGATCTGGTTCGTGCACGGGTTGTCACCACGGAGGAAGGTTCTGACCTTGCCGATCGTTTTAATGTTAACTTTATTGAAGTCTCTGCGGAAATTGGTGATAATATTGAACAGATTATGGTTTGGATTGTTGAAAAGATTAAGGAAAATCTTTCCGTTATTAATAATGGTTCCAGTTCAAAGTCTTCACTTAAAACGGGAACCGTTAAGGTCAAAAATAAAGTTATCACTCGAGCTCGAACTTGTATAAGACAAATTTTCAAACGTTTCATATTTAAAACTCGCTCAGCTGAAAATCTCAATTCTATTAATTGAATAATAGCTGTACAAATGTTTGTACATATTCAAATGTCAATATTAAATATTATTTCCCTTAAATAATAATCAATTAATTGGGAAAATCAATCATACTCTCCATCAATTTAATTGTTTACCTAATTGTGTATCTGCTTATCCAAACAAACTGGAAACTGTTTAATTGTTGCTTGAGTTTCTTTATTATCATTATTAAATAATTATATATATCAAAATGATTAATAATCACACTTAGGTGCCCTTAAAAATAAAATTAATTAATCAACCCGTGGACCAGTATAATTATAATAACAATTAACTAATTAACTAATGATTATAAATCAAACAATTTGTATCAATAAAATAATCAATCTTATATATGTATTAATATCTTTAATATAATAATAAATTAAGCGAAAAGATTATGAAAAATTAAATAAAATTGTCAATTCATTTACTTTAATTGTTCTAACTAATTAATCATATTTAAGATTAACAATTAAAAATTAAAATGAAATGAAAAATTTTTTCAATTTATCATTAGTTTAGTTGCACTGGTTGAACATAGATGGCGACATGAGTTGTTATTTTTTTGGTTGTTTGAAAAAGTTTTGTTTTTATTACAAAAGTGATTAATTAATTGTGTTAAATTTAAATTGTTTCAATTTATTGGCTATTTCAATTTGGTAGAATGTTAAAACAAATAGTGTTTACAAAAAAAGTGTTATAATTAACTGGAATTGGGTCAAAAGTGTTAATTGATTTAAAAGATAATTAAAACTATTTTTAGCTTGAAACGTAAACCAAGATTGGTAATTAATTGATTGTAAAGGTAAATTGTGTTAAAACTAGTGAAATATAATTAACTTTCTATAATTAACTAGGATGAATTTGCATATATAATAAGATGAAGGTTGAATGGTATAAATATAATTGGAAAGAAAGAATCAATCAATCAACAATCAGAAAATAGCCCATGAATAGTAAAAGTTAAATGAGGAAGGAAAAAAGTTTCCATCACCATAGTTGTAAGAATCTCATGAATAGAAAATTTAATCAGAGAACTAATCTAATTACATTTCCATTAATTAAAGGAATTATTTAGTCTTCATCAAAGACAAAGGAACAAAAAACTCTTCAGTCTAAGGTCAACAAACGAACAATAAAACTCTTACAATGTCTGAATAGAGAAGGAAAAACTTCCGGTTCCATAAAATATCATCATGAGCAGGGTGATATTTTTATGTTCTGTTCATTGTATTGCAAAAATTGCATATTCATTAATCATATTGAGTGAAAATTACAAGAAAGGAAAGGTAAGTAACTAAGGTTTACATGATGATAATGTCGCCGAGCATTTATCATCATCATCATCATCTCCATCTTCATCTTCATCCTCATTTTCATCTTCATCTTCATCAGCATCTAATCAAGAAATAACAAGAACCAATATTTATAATAGAACCTAAAGATTATGAGTTAATAACTTGATCTTTTTGCTTCGATTAATGATATTGATCAGAGAGATTTTCAAGAAATAAATTCATTTGGCTGATCATTACCTCTTCCAATATTTACCCTGCATCCAAGTTTTACTCAGTTCCAGCCCCACCCTTAATATTATCGTTATTATATGTATTTTATTTGGTGTTACTACTTAAATTTTATTCCAACTAATCATTACAGTTCAAGATTTTCATGCGCATTGATGAAAACTTTCAAAGGAAACTATTGACTCTGTTGTTTTCATCATCATCATGTTTTTATCATCATGTTCATGTTTATCATTCAGTTTGTTCAGTAACGAGCAGCAAGTAACATCTTATCAACTTATCAGTTTTAATTGTTATCAACTAACTTGATAACAATTCTATACATTGATAACTGTAGTTATTTAATCTGATTATCAACAATTTAAAATCCAATACAAGAGATAATTTTTTTTTCTTCTTCTCTTTTTTTTTACTGATAAAAGTTTTACTTCCGCATCCTCATCATTCATTTATCTCATTAACTGTTTTGCTGTTTTCATCTTACATATTTTGGAGGTGATTAAGGTGATTGTGTCTACCTTTCTAATACTAATTGTCTATTTGTTTTTTCTTTGACCAATGGTCAAGGTGTTAATTTGATTGTTTACTTATTGCTTTGTTTTTTTATTTATTAGTTATGAATCGTTCTGGTCACATTTTGAGCCCTGTTGTTGAAAGTTCTGGTTATCGTTATCCAAATCGTCATCGAAACAGTTCACCTTCAATTAAACCAAGACAATATCACCCGAGGCGATCATGTGATGGTCATTTTGCCTTTCTAACTGCAAACGCTTCTTCATCATCTTCATCACCTTCACCATCAAAGTTAACCAACAACAGTAACAACCATTCACACAATTTTACCTTTGATACTGATGGTCGAGGTTCAAGTCCAGTGTCCAGTTCAACTAGTACCTCATCAATAAGTCCAAGTAGAGGTCAATCAATGGTTTTAAACGGTTTCCATCAACCTCAATCCCAACAACAGTATCATTATCATATTAACAATGATACCAATAGACATTATCAACACCAATCATCACAACAACAACATCGATCATCATCATTATCAACTGGTCCTACGGTCAATCCACAAGTCCAACGAACTCAACAATACTTTCGTCCTCGCGTGAATACCTTACCCGATGCATTAAGTGGAATTGTGTTGAATGTCATTGAAACCGATCGACGGGCTCGATCACGAAGTCAAAGTTACACTCCACCAACAAGTAACAACCATTCAAACCATCAACATACTAACAACAATTATACCACAAATGGAGGTGGAGGTGTAGGTCGAAAAAATCGACGGAAAAGTCAAGAACGTGTATCTTATTCTGATGCCGATAGTTGGACCAATTATCGTAAAACTTCAATTGATCCGAGAAAATTTTCCATCTCTGAGGTACATGACGATTCTATTCCAGAGCGTGATGATAAATCATATCGAGTTCTGGTTCTGGGAGCTGATAAAGTGGGAAAAACTACTTTACTCCATCAGCTGATTCGACAAGAAGAGATGGAGAAACTTTCCCACCGGGAGAGATCGATTAAGATGCTTATCCCAATCGATAATGTGGATGTTTCCATAATCTTCGATAACCAACCTTTCAATGATGATCTTCTCAATGATAGAATGCACCATGAAAAGGTAAGTCGATTCATTTGAATTCATTTCGTTTCTTTTTTACTCGAACAACAATCTCAAGTTGATTGTTCAACATTCTGTAACAATCAAATTCTAATTGATTAGCTCATTAAGTTTAATCACCTTTACGGTTGAATGAATTGAATGAGTTGAATCTTCACAATGAGAAACATTTTTCATGGTTGAATCTTTCCAAATGAATTTATTAATATTACCTAACAGTAGCCCTGAGTGAACATTAATTCATATGAATGATGAAATTTGTTCAGATTATCATGTAACCACCAATAGTTTATAAATATTATTATCATAAGGATCTTATTGCTAATATTTAGATATTTATATTTATCAATGGATAATAAATGTCAAGGTAAATGCGGAAGTGGTTGTGAACATCTAGGAGATTCCAAGTTGATTACTGAATTTCATGTAAATGACATGAAATTATCTTTGATCATCTATTAGATTTATCAATGTAATTCTGAATTCCGAGAACGAAAAAACTTTCTTTTCAAATCAGATAATATAAAATCTTAATCAATTCAAGTCATGGCTTCAGGTAAGAGGTTGATAACTTTTCTTATATCATGTTTATCGTTAAATGAATTACTTGACAGAACTTTTTTGAAAATGTTATCTTGATAATGATAAGTTAATATTATCAAATCCATGATGATATTTTGTCAACTCAATCGTCTTATATATATTTTAACTTGATGATGATGATGATGTAAGTAAAATCTTGACCATCAACAATAATAAGCTTATTGACTTTGAGCTGGACATCATTTTCAATAATCAACAAAAGATCTGGTAAGAAGGCAAAAAAAGAGAGACATGAACTGTAATCAGTAAGTGATTCTGGAAATAAGGTCACTACTGAAATTGGTGATTTATTGAAAATGATCAATCTCTTGACTTCCTTTTCCATGGTCAGAACTTTTATCTCCACTTGCCTTTTTTTTCCTCCACTAAAGAAAATGGAAACTATCATTGTTATTTCCGGTCAAATTTACTTTTGTCTCTTCCGGAAAGAGGAACTGTTTACTTTTGAAACTCAAATAAATTCACCGAAAAAGAGATAAGCAAAAGTTTCCATTAAATTGAGAATTACAGATTATCGTGATAATCACAATGAGAACCTCATGATAACATTTGATAGTTTTACTGATCAATTTGTAAGAAAATGACCATTGACCATCGTGATGATGATAATGATAATGATGAGAAAAAAACATTAATCTGTGAATGTAAACATGATACTAACACTAAATCCAATAACTGGGGCTCAGTTTGAATTAAGGACAAATGAACGAGATGGACAAAAGTTTCATTCCATTTGTAGTACAGTGTTAAAAGTTCAGTAGATATTCATGAGAGAGAGAGAGAGAGCAAGGAATCTATTGATATTATCATGTATATAACATTGTCACCGGCTGATTGTTCAGGGTGAATGGTAATAAAGTGATTTCCTGAATAATGAAAAGAGAAAGAGAGAAAATAAAAAAGTTGAGATAGTTTTCAGGATAAACAGGGAAAGAATGATGGATAAAGATGAAATGAATAGAGGAGGATGATAACAATGATGATAGAAAAGTGCTGAATAGACTGTTAACTGTCAACCATTATCATGACACATTCCTTATCTCTGAATCACCAGAATCGTTTACAATGATCACTCTGTTGATGGTTATTCAACTTTTGACCTGTTTAAGTATAAAAAAAAGTGTATATTCAGTTCATGTGATATCACATGAAGATCATGGTGGTTACCTTAGTTTTTTATATTCCAACTTCCTGATACAATAATGAAAATGGTGAAGATGAAAATTTGGAAAAGAACAGAAATTTTCTGGTAAAATAAAAGCAAAGAAAATCACAATTCGAAACAAATTCTTATCAATAGAACTTTTTTCATCTTCTTCTTTCTCCTTTTTCCATGATGATAATCGTAATGATAGATAATTTCACCTCCCTGAGTATTCAGCTAATATAAAGGAACGACTATGAAACTGGGTGAGAATTAATGTTGAAATAGAATAATAGAAGAAGAATAAAAGTATTTCGATCTTTTTTTCTCCGGAAAATTTTTTCTTCTTTCTCTTTGTTGATATTCTATTTCTGAATACATGGTAAATGAACTGATTCACCAAGAGAATCGTGTTTATATCTATTGTATGTGTGTGTGTCTTTTTCTGTGACGATGGTCATTGAAGAGTCTCAATTGGAATTGGGTCAATTATGAATTTAGATATTAAGTTATAATGGAAAAGTGTTACTTCCGTGTTCATTGATGATGAAATTGAAAATTGATCAATACGATAGCATGAAAGTGTAAGAGTATTACTTTATCGGAACACTCGATTACCGAAATCTTTAATTAGGGGCCAATCTCATATCACAGTGGATTAAGTAATTACTTAATCCACACCACAAGTGATTAACAACAATTAATTAATTATAAATAGTTTTAATGTTGAATTAGGATTAACAATATGGACAAGAGTTTAACACAAAGAGATTTAATTTTAACAAGGATTAGGATTAACTGGTTCACATTAACTGACTCACTGACTCTCAAAACAATCTTGTGTTTTATACCCTTTTGATTAAGGTGACACTTAATCAACCTTTGATTCTGTTGGTTGTTGATGATGAGGTGAGTTTGGGGGTAAGCGCAGCTTACCTCCCCTTACAGAGCCCCCCGCCAAAGCTGAGTGCGGACTCTTAAACGGGTTCGACGAAGCTCGAAGGAGATCAACGATCTCTAACGAACCTCATCAAACATCTATCTATGGGAAACAGCGTGGGAAATTTTTCGCTTGTATCGCCACGTTATTAATATCAATCGAAAGCTTATCACAAACTGAGTAAAATATTACATAGAAACGGGTATGCTAAGTGTTGAGGGTTTGCTACAATTTTGGAATGAAAATTTTGACTTTTGGTCGCGAAAAATATTTTTCTGGAAATTCGTTTAAAAGATATCGGGATGATTTATAGTGCATTCGAAAGCGCTTAAAAAACTGATCAAATTGTATCATGGGCAAATGCTTCTGGAGATGAATCAATTCCAAGTTATTCACAGATGAAGTTAATTATCATCTCTCAATGCAAACCAGCATGGTCAATAAGTTGATCAGATTGGCACTTTGAATACATCAATCGATTGAATTTTAGATGAATATCAAAAGCTAACATAGGCTGGATATGGTTATCTTGAGTGGTTTTCGAGTAATTTGTTTTAAAGATGATTTAACTTGATTATTGATTGAACAGGAAATTGTTGCCATAATTTTAGTAGGAAGCAGGCGCATTTAAATAATTCATATTTTCGTAATTGTGGTGATGTGAAGACCAGTAAGAGGTGTTTTTCCATTTTTTGATTTTCCGTTTCGTAAAATATTGATTATAATATTTATCATGAATTCTCATTGGGTTACTATTTGACTGATGCTCTTGTTTGAGATGAAACATTCCAACAGTATTAACGTATATTTTATTTTCAGCAGTTCCATTTTCCATGTTTTCTTAGTAGTGTTGATATTAGGATCAATTGAATGTGAAGTTAATTGTTGATGATTTTGATTTTTTTGACTGGAGGAAGTAATTACTTCCTCCTTAGTTACCGATGATTCAACCACACGTTTAGTTGAGTTACCAGGACGTTGTGGGCCATAAATACGCGGGAAAAACTCACGGAATAAATAGCGCCAACAGTTTATTGTCGGACTTCTCAACTGAACTTGTAACGGGAATCCAAAACGATAAACAGTAAATTGATTAGTAAAAGAATTACCTCTAATTGTTGCTACAGTTGCATGGATAAAATCATGTCCAAATATTATCGGATAATTTAAATCTTTCATAATATAAACTCTAATCGCCTTTTCTTCGTATCTCGGTAACAACGAATGAAAATTTGAGAAACTCCAACAGCGGACACCGATGATGAAGACGAACAAAAACCATCAAACTCGTGACTTGACTTATAAACTGCAAGTCCCAATTTATCTGCAAGATCTGATGACATCAAAGTACTTGAAGCACCTGTATCGATCATTGCCAGTGTCTCGACCAATGGAAATTTATCCAGAACTTCTACCGCCATGATCGGGTCTCTTGATTTAACTGGCTCACCATTTAGAGTTGACCCTTTCATTTTGTAATTTTGTATATTGATACCTTCGATCTGTTGTTTTAATGGACAATTATCAGTATAATGTCCATTATCCTTGCAGAATTGGCACTGATTGAGGTTATTCATCGATTGATTTGAATTAGGATAAAATTGAGGTTGATGAAACTGTTTCCCGTAATTATTTTGTTGATTATAACGCCTTTGATCAAACTGTTGATCATTTTGTTGATGAGATTGTTGATTGTTTTGATGATTCGGTTGTTGGTGAAAATTAGATTGATTAGATTGTTGATACATTGGCTGATTGGGTTGATTAAATATTGGGTTATTACTGTTTCGAGGATAAGAATTATTATATGTAATTATCTTTTTCAAAATATCATCAATTCTGGTTATGGTAAGGTCGTTTACTAAGGTGAATCTTAAATCAGGAGGTAATGTGAACAAAATGATCAAGACAATACAGTGTTCGCTAATATTAGGAACGCGTAATCGAGCGGCTTTAGTGATGATGCGGCAATGATTGATTGGATCGTTACCCTTGTAGAACTTGGTTGTGTAAAGGTCATGAGAAGCAGCGACTATTTCACTTTCACCAATGTAAGTGGTTCTTAATTTAGCAGATAGACCTTCAAAGGAAATACCTGGAAAAAGCGTTAAAATTTTCTTTACTTCATCATAAATCTTAAATGGTAGATTAGCTGACAGAATCTTTATCGCAGTTGAATCATCAAACCCAAAGATATCGATCTTAGACTCCAATTCCTTTAGCCATTCATTTAGACTTTCATTTTCATTGAATTTATCTTGAATCTTGAGCCAACTCGGATGAAACTGTAAGTTGTTATTCTGTTGTTGATGA